CCCCCCCCCGCACCGACGTTGTAAAGCTCGTTTTGTAGTCCTGCTCTATTTTTGGCAGTATTGAGGTTTGAACTCACAGCCTTGCACTTGCTAGGCAGGCTCTCTACCACTTAAACTATTATCCCTACCTCTTGAGACACGCCCCCTGCCACTTAAGACACACCTCCACAGCTGAGACACACCCTCCACTGCTCCTACTGCTGGGAATGCCCCCACTGCTGAGACACACCCCTGTTCTAAGACACGCCCCTACTACTGAGACACGTCCCCACCACCAGGATACTTCCTTACCACTGAGACAAGGCCCTACCTCTGAGACACACCCACCACTACCGACCAAGCCCCTAGCTCTGAGCCACGCCCCTAACACTGAACCACACACCTACAGTTGAATCACACTCCTAGTGCTAAGACCCGCCCCTGCTACTAAGCCATGACCCCACCACTGAGACAGCCCCTATCACTGAGCCCTCACCACTGAGACAAGCCAAGCCCTCTGCTTAGACTCCTACCCGAGATACACCCCTATTACTGAAACACGCCCCCAAACTGGAGCTTTCTGTTTAATACTCCCGCTTTCTTTTGCTTTAGGCATTTTTCTTTCTTTCTTTTTTCTTCCTTTTTTTTTTCTTTTTCTGCCAGTACTGGGGCTTGAACTCAGGGTTTAGACACTGTCCCTGAGCTGCTTTTTTTGCTCAAGGCTAGCACTCTACCACTTGAGCCACAGTGCCACTTCTGGCTTTTTCTGTGTATGTGGGACTAAGCAATCAAACCCAGAGCTTCATGCATGCTAGGCAAGCACTCTACCACTAAGCCACATGGCCCAGCCCCCTAGGCATTTTTCAAATTGGGTGGGGGGCCTCACATTTATATTTGTGCCATTCTGGACCACCATCCTCTTGCTTAAGTGTATGTGATGGGGGCTGGGAAGGTGGCTCAGTGGTAGAGTGCTTGCCTCCCATGCATGAGGCCCTGGATTCGATTCCTCTGCACCACATAAACAGAAAAGGCCGGAAGTGGTGCTGTGGCTCAAGTGGTAGAGCGCTAGCCTTGAGCTGAAGAGCTGAGGGACAGTTCCCCAGGCCCAGAGTTCAAGCCCCATGCCAGACAAAAAAAAAGTTTATGTGATGTCATGGAAGTGTCACTAAATCCAGCTTTTTGTTGGTTCAGATGAGATGTCTTGGACTTTACACCCAGTCTGGCCTTGAATCATGATCTTCCCAATCTCTGCCCCCTAGGTCTCTGAGATTACAGTTATAAACCCATCTCCCAGTGCTTTCTATCAGTCCCTTGCTTTCTGCACTGAGATGCCCAGTGGAACCACTAATTAGTCTGAATTAGCTCAACCACATACATGTTCCTGCTGCCAGGTTCAAGAGTCACAAGCTTCTCTTCATCCTGACAGGTAGGTCTCTGTCCCTGTCCCTGTTGGCATGGAGAAGGAAGCTGGAGCCCACCAGAGTTCAGTTACTTTACTCCCCGGTTACCTGACTAAGGAAGCTCACGGTTCAGATTCTCCTAGCAACTATTTCAGAGTCTCTTCAACTTTCAGCTATTTCAGGTTGCAAAATGATCAAAACAACAGCAAGAAGAAGCATATACACTTCAAAAAGGTCTTTTATTTGGCGGGTAGTGGTGGCTCAGGCCTGTAATCCTAGCCACTGGAGTAGCAGAGATTTGTAAGGATCAAAGGTTGACAACCCAGAACCCAGTCCTCCTCTGGGTTCCCATGAACACCCCTGACACACACACACACACACACACACACACGAAAAAGTTGAGCACCCTGGCCTAGGCCTATAAATCCTAGTTACTCAGGAAGCTGAGATCGGAGATTCAAAGCCAGCCGGTGAGATTCTTATCTCCAATTAAGCAGCAAAAAAGCTAGAAATGTAGCTAGGTGCTGGTGGTGGTGGTGGCTCCCGTCTGTAGTCCCAGCTACTCAGGAGGCTGATATCTGAACCTTGTGGTTTGAAGCCAGCCCAGGCAGGAAAGTCCAGGAGACTCTTATTATCCAATTAATCACAGGGGGGAAAAAAAGCCAGAAATGGGACTGTGGCTCAAGTGGTAGAGCACCAGCCTTGAGCACAAAGAGGCTCAGGGACAGCGCCCAGGCCCTGAGTTCAAGCCCCAGGACAGACACACACACACACACACACACACACACACACACACACACGTCCCCAGCGGTCCCCGGCTCAGTCCCCGGTCCCATCCCCTCGCAGGTGGCCCCATGGCCATGCTGGGCCCCGACGGTCCCCTGTGCGCGGCGGACCCGGAGACGCTGCGGGACTACCTCAAGGCCTCGCACTTCTCGCTGGCGCTCGACCCGCGTCTGCACCAGGATGCCAGGTGCTCCAAGGCGCACGCGGACTTCCAGGCCTACCCGGCCACCACCGCGGCGGCGCCGCCGGACCGGCCGCCGTCGCCCTCGCAGCTCTTCCACTACGACCGGCGCTGGAAGGACGACGGGTACTTGCCCGAGATGCGCCGCGCGTTCGCCTTGCTCAGCGCGCCGCCGGCGGACACGCCGGAGCAGCGGCGGGAGCGCGCGCGGACCCTGCAGGCCAGCCACCTGCCCCTGCACGCGGGCGCGCACGCCGGCATCGGCCTGTCCCTGGCGCACGCCGCCTACGGCTGGCACGGGATGCCGCCGCTCGCTGCCCGGGAGCAGATCCGGGGCGCGCGCCTCATCTTCGACCGAGACTCGGTGCCAGCCGGCGACAAGGACAAACTGGGCATCCCGCACACCACGCACAAAGCGCACTTCCAGCCCTACTCCGAGGACCCGCCGCCCCGCGCGCCCTCCTACCATCTGGGTGAGCGCACCCCAGGGACGCCTGCGAGGAGTTGGGGGAGGGTGCTCCAGCCCCAGATCCTCAAATACCCGAGTTTTTTGGGGGTTTTTTTCTCCTTTTTTCTTTTGCAGAAGCAAAACACACTCCCAACTCCCCTCCTCCTGGGGACATGTAGCAAAGTATGGAAACAGGAGGGGTGTGGTGGCTCACACCTGTAATCTCAGTTACTCAGGAGACTGAGATCTAAGGTCCCCCAGTTCAAGGCCTGACCAAGCAGGAAAATCCGGCTCCTAACTCTAGCTTATGTTGGTGTTTTTCAGTTTGGCCCTAAGTCTAGACTGATCAACTCAAATCCCTTTCCTCGGGGAATCAAATTCCATTCCTTCAATCCTTTATTGGTGTTGGTCGGTGGTGGGGCTTGATCTCCGGGCCTAGGCCCTGCCTCTGAGCTCTTTTGCTTAAGGCTAGCACTCTGTCACTTTGAGCCACAGCACCACTTCTAGTTTTCTGGTGGTCGAGTCTCCTGGACTTTCCTACTAGGGCTGGCTTCAAACCACAATCCTCAGATCTCAGCTTCCTGAGTAGCCAGGTTGACAGGCAAGGGCCACCAGCACCTGTTTTCATTTAGTCCTTCCTCTCCTCCCCCTCCTCCCCACCCACTTCCATCTTCAGGGGGTCCCAACCCTCTCCGGTGGAACTACAAAGGCCCCATAGAGACCTCCAACTCAAGACAGTTCAGGGCCCTTCCAGGCCCACCCGCTCCCATGTGTAAGAGGGTAAGTAGGGGCTGCCGCAGTGGCTTCTTGAGGGGGTGGGGGGGTAGGTAGCCAGGCTTGCTGGGTGAGTGTGGTTTTGCAATCCCTCTGTACCCACAGGCCTCCTCCTCTGTGCAACTGGGAGACTGCAAAATTAACTATACCCACATGCATTCAGACCTGAAGCAGATGCACACTCCCCAGGAGCTGTCCCCAGACAGGTACAAAGGGACAACTGGCTTTCAGTAGTAGTTGCTTAGAGTTCTCAGAAGCCAATACTGTGTGTGTGTGTGTGTGTGTGTGTGTACATGTGTGTGCATGCACACGCACATGCATGCTGAGGCCTAAACTCAGGGTCTGGGAGCTGTCCCTGAGTTTTTTCAATCAAGGCTGGTGCTCCACCACTTGAAGTACAGCTCTACTTCTGGCTTTTTGCTGGTTAATTGGAGATCAGAATCTTCTTGCCCAGACTGACTTTGAACCTGGATCCTCAGATCTCAACCTCCTGAGTAGCTAGGATTACAGGCATGAGCCACCAGCACCCAACAGGAGCCAATACTCTTATCTTTAAAGTTTCCATCCTCAGCCGGGCGCTGGTGGCTCACGCCTGTAATCCTAGCTACTCAGGAGGCTGAGATCTGAGGATCGCGGTTCAAAGCCAGCCCGGGCAGGAGAGACCGTGAGACTCCTATCTCCAATAAACCACCAGAAAACCGGAAGTGGCGCTGTAGCTCAAGTGGTAGAGCTCTTGCCTTGAGCTGAAGAGCTGAGGGACAGCGCCCAGGCCCAGAGTTCAAGCCCCATGACCGACAAAAATAAAAAAATAAAGTTTCCATCCTCTGGCAGGGAAATCACACTAACCCTGTCAAATTGCCCACAGTAGCCATCCCTGACTGGGCCATTCTGTCCTTGTCCCCTTTCCGGAGAGTTGCAAGGACCCACAACTGATCTTTTTTTTTTTTTGTCGGTTTGTGGGGTTTGAACTCTGGGCCTGGGCACTGTCCCTCAGCTCTTCAGCTCAAGGCGAGGAGCGCTCTACCACTTGAGCTACAGCGTCACTTCCGGTTTTCTGGTGGTTTATTGGAGATAGGAGTCTCACGGTCTTTCCTGCCCGGGCTGGCTTTGAACCACGATCCTCAGATCTCAGCCTCCTGAGTAGCTAGGATTACAGGCGTGAGCCACCAGTGCCTGGCTGATCTTCCTTCTCTTACCCAAGGTACAACAAAGCCCAGGCTTCAGCCCAGATCTTCCAAGCAAACATTAATCCTGGAGATGGACACTTTTACCACAGGACAACTATGAATGATCATTTCTATCCCCGGGAGCCAGGTGGGAGCTTGTTGGGATGTCTGCCCTGTCCCTGACTCCTTGGACAGCTTCTTAAAAATTACTCAACATCTACTCTGCCATTGGCAGAGCCTTTTACTTCCTCCCACGATAAGACTCCGGATTCCCACATTTTGAAAGGAAATTGGCAGCACGGCCCAGGCAACCTTGATACTTCTATGCAGTATTTCTTCGTCCAGGTCAGCAGGAAGGGGAACAAATTTCCCTCAGGGAAAGAGCTATCCAAGGTAAATAGCAACTACAAAGGTCCTGAAGTGGGCGTGAGCTCATAAGGGAGAATGTCCTGAATCCATTTGAGTGATGGAGGATGAGTACAACCTGCCAGCCTCAGTGACTCAGTCTGTAAAATGAGACCGCAGGCTCCATTCCCAGCACCAGGGAGCTGTCCAAGATCACACAGGACCCACCACCACCCTTCCAATGGGCTGGGGCCATGGGAGCTTCCCAGATCTCTGTCCTATGATCCTTACAGACCCCGCCTGCAACCCAGCCACCCAGCCGCCACTTACCTCTAGAGAAACAGAAGGATCACGTGGCCCTAGGAGACACAAAGCTGCTCAGAGAATTCTTCCACACTACCACGCGCTCAACCTACGGCCACTTAGAACCCCAGCCTACACAGATTGCCCCCAGCCTTCATTTGTTGCCCAGCACACTGCCACGGGGCACAGGCGGTGAGCATGGTCCGGCCCCAACCCGGAAAGCCCAGCCCCTGCCTAGAAACCGCGCCCCTCAGGCTCTGACCACGCCCACGTGTGGATCTGGCCACGCCCCTTACAAGCCCTGACCGCGCTGCTGACTGCCCTGGCCACGCCTCTTCTGGCTCCAGCCTCCCGGAATGATTAACTCCCACTCTGAATTGTCCAAGATCCCAATGCCACCCTGGAACCCTGCACCTACCTTCACATCGGCCACTCCCACTTAGGCCAGCCATACTCCCGCCCCTTTCTCTATCCACCTTTACCCAATCCTAACCCCACCTCGTCTGCCAAGTATCGGCTCCGCCCCCACAAGCTGGTTGGTCTCCCGTCCTTACGAAGTGGCTGGCTCCACCCCATGAGCTATTTGGCCCCGCCCCTTAACTCCTCTGGGCTAGCCCCGCCCCACTCCATCCTAACCATCCTTCAATTCTCAGACACCCTCAAGTCTTTCACATCCCCTGTCCTCCCCATCTCTCTTCTTGCCCCTCAACTCGGCAACCCCAATCCAAATCTCCAGAATTACAGTTTTCAACGGAGAACCAGAGTTCTTTTAAGCCTCGTGGAGTAGCCCCAGCCGCCATGACGCAAGATTTGCTATGGCGGGTAAGAGGAGGGAAAAGGATCAATTACCAGGCCACAGCCCCCCCCCCTTCCACCCTCAAATCAAGACGATTAAACTGAATTCGTGCCAAATCCCTTAGGGTCAACCCAAGTGCTGGAAGCACTCCTGGGAGACCCTCGGTCTCTGTCAAGCCAGACTGGAACGGCTCTAACCCACTCCCCAATCACCAAGCAAAGTTGGGTGGGCCTCTGCTCTTTTCTTTATGTCCTCAGGGTGGCCTGGAAATCATTGGATGGCTAGAGTGGATCGGCCATCCCCCAGGCAACCCCACCACCGCTGTCACCCCACTTCTGCAGTGCAAATACAGCCACCTGGAGCCCCCGCTGGGAGATCAACGCTTCTTATCAACCACCTACAAAGATGAATTTCCTTTCAAGTACAATGGTCCACTGGTGCTGAAACCGAATGTTACAAATGAGAGCCATTTGCCCCTAGGTTCCCCTAAATGGTGGGGCTGCAGGAAGGTAGACCCTCAGGCCCCCCAGATCTCTATGAACCCATGTCCCAGTCCGCAATAAATAATTTCCTTGACAGTAGGCCTCTTGTCAGTCTTGGTTTGGTCATCTGTAAAATGGAGAGAAGTAAGCCAAATGCTGGTGTCTCCAGCCTATCATCCTAGCTACTCCAGAGGATGAGATCTGAGAATCATAGTTTGAAGCCAGCCTGGGCAGGGAAGTCTGTGAGACTATCTCCAGCTAGTCAGCAAAAAGCCAGAAGTAAAAGTGTAGCTCAAGTGGTAGAGCACCAGCCTTGAGTGTAAAAAGCTAAGGGACAGGGTCTAGGCCAAAATAAAGGACCGAAATAGTAACTAGGTTGTTATAACTGATTAGAAGCTGAATGGCACTCATCAGTGTCCTGATAAATGAATACAAGAGAAGCTGGGTACTAGTGGCTCATACCTAAAATCCTAGCTACTTAGCAGGTGGAGGTCTAATAATCTCAATTTGAAGCCAGCTCAGGCAGTAAAGTCAATGAGATTCTTATCTCCAATTAACTACCAGAAAACCAGAAGTGGAGCTGTGGCTCAAAGTGGTGGAGTGCTAGCCTTGGGCAAAAAAAAGTTCTGGGGGGCAGCACCCACACCCTGAGTTCAAGCCCTACAACCGACCCCCCCCCGCAAAAAAAAAGAGGACAAGAGGAAATTGGGGGTGGGGTGAGAAGACTAGCACTCTACCACTTGAGTCAGAGCTCTACTTCTGACTTTGTTTTAAATGTTTAATTGCATATAAGAGTACCACAGACTTTCCTGCCCAGGCTGGCTTCAGACACAGATCCTCAGAGCTCAGCCTCCTGAGTGACTGGGATGACATGAGTGAGCCACCAGTTGCCAGGCTTGAGTTTTGGCAACTTTTATCTCCAAGGTGGGAGGATTGGACATAGAGAGGGAGGCGTGATTGGCCAGCAGCAGAAGGGTTTGTATTCCTTTCTGTGTAGCAGCCTGTCCTTGTGTCTATCTTGGGTCAGATATGGTCACAGAATGGCCTTGTCTGATTGCTGTTTATATTCTACAAACATTGTTTATGTTTAGTAGAGAGCCTCAAGGCCCAGCTACCAGCAGTTGGTGGGCTGGTTTGTGCATCCTCTCCTGTGCTTCCAGGTAAAGTTAATCCAGAACCCTCACTAGTTATGGCTGTTCCAGGCAAGACAGGCACCTAGAGCTCTCCCAGAGACAATACAATCCATCACCTGGGGTGGGGGGGAAGCTTAAAAGGAGGGAGGAGGAATGTGGGGGGGCAGAGGAACAGTGGACTATCTTATTCCTATACCCTATGTCCGCTCCTTGTGTGTGTGTGTGTGTGTGTGTGTGTGTGTGTGTGTATGGTGTCCTAGAAATAGTATACCTTTTTTTTTAAGGGAGAAATGCTGCATTAAGCAAAAATGGACAAAATCACTAATTCAGGTCAGGAGTTGGTGGCTCATACTTGTAATCCTAGATGCTCAGGAAGCTGAGGTCTGAGGATTGTGATTCAAAGCAAGCTAGCCTGGGCAGGAAAGTCTGAGACTCTTATCTCCAATTCACCACAGAAAAAATGGAAGTGGTGCTGTGGCTCAAAGCAGTAGGGCACTAACCTTGCTTAGAAAAGGTCAGGACAGCACCCAGGCCCAGACTTCAAGCCCCAGGTTTAACCAAAATAAACATGATTTGACTCTGCTTTTATGTGCATCAGCTCTTACATGCCTATATATACAATTTGGCTGTATTTGTGCACGTGTGTACACATGTGTGTGTGTTCATGCCTGTATTAGGGCTTGAACTTAGGGCCTGGCCTCTATCCCTTAGCTTTTTCCCTTAAAGCTGGTGCTCTACCATTTGAGCCACACATCCCCGTCCAGCTTTTTGGTGATTCATTGGAAGTTCGAGTCTAAGGGACTGGCTGAACCTAGACTCCTTAGATGGCAGCCTCCTGTGTAGCTATGACTACAAGTGTGAGTCACCGGGGGCCGCCAGGCACATTAACAAAGGGACATAGACCTGAGTGCAAAACAGAGCTAGAGACAAAAAGGATAGAGACCAAAGAGACCTGGGAAGAGAGAAGGCAAATGGGACAGCGACGGACGATGGCAGGGACAGACCCGGGGACAGCGATGGCGAGGCAGGCAGGACCACAGAGGGGTTGAGAGAGGCCCCGATGACGCTCGGAGAGCTGGGACTCAGTTGGCGCGGGCGCGGCCCCAGCGCAGACAAAGGCGCGGGCGCGCTGCCAGGGTGGCCCGGCCGGGACAAAGGCTGGCCCGGGGGCCGTCCGCGGCGGGCGCACGGGCGGACTACAAGTCCCAGCAGCTCCCGCTGCGGCCCTCGGCCGGCCCCTCTCGCTCCCCGGGAGCGCCTGGCGTGGGCCGCTGGGCCGAGGGGGCCGCCGGCGGGGCTGGCTGGCGGGCGGGCGGGCGGGCGGGGTGGGAGGGGGGCTTCCTGCGGGATCGTGGAGGGGGGGCGCCGGCGGCTGGCGCGGCGCGGGGCGCGGCGGGCCGGGCAGGGGCGAGGGGCGCCGGGTGAGTGTCCCCGCGATCGGGCCGGAGCCGGGGCTGGGGGACAAGATCGGGGGCCGGGGGAGGGGGTGTCCCCAAAGCGGGGCGCACGGCCTGGGGCGACCCCTATTCACCCCTCGCTCGCGCACGCACGCGCGCTCTGGAGCGAGTGGGGTCGTGGGCGCGGTGGCCGGGATGGGGTGTGTGGGGGGTCCTGTGGCCCCTTGGCCTAACGCCCCCATCCTGCTTCTGGGGGGCTCCTGTGGGTGAGTGGGGGACCCGCTAAGCTACGAGCTAGCAATCGGGAAGGGCTGGAGCGCCTGGTAGCTTTGGGGTCCACAGCTCAGGATGCCCACCTTCCTAGGAGGCCATCCAAGGTCCCCTTTCGTGCGAACACAAAAAGGATCCGGTTATTGTTCTCTCCAGCTTGGGGTGGGGGATTAAAGAGGGCTTTTTCCCCCCTCGCTTAGAAGGATCCCCTTCCAAGATCTCAGGAAAAGGGCCAGCTATTCATCTATTGTTTTCCCCTTTAGCATGGAGGGTGGTGGTTAGAGATCTAGAAGCCCCTTTCTAATTGGTGAATCACAGAGTCCACCTGCCCACCCCCAAGTCAGTGGGGGAACCCCATGCTGTGCCCAGCTGCTTCCCCTGGAGGCAATCTAGGGTTCCCCTGCCCCCCAGGAACTCTGGAGAGAGCTCTAGCTATTGTTTCCTTCAGCCTCCAGCTATGGAGTCTGTGTTGAGGCCATCCAGGAACTCGACCCCTTTGGTATGCCCACTCCTCACGATGAAGCTGTGCCAGTACACCCCCTCCCCAGAAGAGGATCAGAGGTCCCTGCTCCCCTCCCCACCCCCAGAAAGAATCCAGCTAAGATCTCTCCCCAAGTCATCTTGATCACTCTGTTTCTAGAAAAGGTTCAGCTATGCTGTTCTACCTCCCCACCTGTCTGTCCTCCACCACTGCTCCCAGAAAGTCGGGCACTGGATTCAGTTTAGGATCTTTCAGTTTAGGCTGCTAACACAGCCTCCATACCCTGCTTCTTGAGATCAAGATTCCCCCCGCCCCCCACTTTCCCAGGAAATGCCCTCTCTAGGGATTCTAGCAACCCCCAGTGTTCCATCTTTATCTGGTAGCTTAGGGAATAGGCCTAGCTGAAAGATCTAGAAGGGAGGGCAGGGGGGTCCCTGTCCATCCTTCCCACAATGACACAGATATCATCTGTCTCTCCCCGACTCTGTAAATTCCTGAGGCCAGGATACCACTTGTGTAGAAACCAAGCCACAAGCACCCTGCCCTGGGCTGCCCTCAAAGTTCCCCCAAATCTTCTACTTCCAGACATGGGCCCAGGACCTCCAGATACCTGCCTTCTTCTCCAGGAGAGATCCCAGAGTCATGAGGGTCAGAGCTTAAGTGAGACTTTCTCTTCCCAGGTTTCCAACTAGAAGAACACAGGATGGACAGAGGGGCTCAACCATGGAATTGGGCATCAGAGACTTCTAATTCCCAGGCCAGAGGCTTCTGTTCAGGTTGGGGGCTGAGAGGGGAGAGGGTCTCCACCATGCTCCATCATGACTCTTCCCCCCTTTTCCAGCGTGGCCAAAGACCTCTTATGATGAGAGAAAAGGAAAGATGTGTGTATGTGTGTGTCCAGCAGTGAATGGTATGTGTGTGTGTGTGTGTGTGTGTGTGACACCGTGGGGTTCCTTCTCCCATCCCTGCTAGACTCCAGGAGACTCCCTGTTCCCCAGAACCTTCTTCCCCACATTCCCCTAACCACTCTTTGTCCCCCCCTTTTTTTTTTGTAGATCCTGTCCCTGAAACATCCAGCAGTTCCACCGGGGCCATGAGACGTTCAGTCTTGGTCAGGAACCCTGGCCACAAGGGGCTGAACCCCAAACTTGAAGATGTGGATCGTATTTCTGAAGCCCCAGAGCCGGATCCTGAAGACCTAAATACTGTCTCGGAAGACGTGGATCCCAACTTTGAAGATCGAGAGTCCATCTCTGAGGATCTAGATGGGGAGGTGAAAGGTTCCGGCTGTGTCTTGGGGAACCAAGACTCAGGTCCTCAAGATCTGGACCCCGCTTCTTTGAATGATGACCTGGATCCAGACGTCATTGGCCCTGTGCCTCTGGTTCTCAACCCCAACAGCGAGACCCTCAGCCCCGCCGTTCCAGACGTGAACCCCCTTTCTTCCGATCTCCATGCCACCCCGAAGGCCCTGCCCACTAGCCCCGCTGCCGCGCGCCCAGCCCCAGCCAGCCCACCCCGGCCCTTCTCCTGCCCGGATTGCGGGCGAGCCTTCCGCCGCAGCTCCGGCCTCAGCCAGCACCGTCGCACCCACAGCGGTGAGAAGCCCTACCGATGTCCCGATTGTGGGAAATCCTTCAGCCACGGCGCCACGCTGGCCCAGCACCGTGGCATCCACACCGGGGCGCGGCCTTACCAGTGCGCGGCGTGTGGGAAAGCCTTCGGCTGGCGCTCCACGCTCCTGAAACACCGCAGCAGCCACAGCGGCGAGAAGCCACACCACTGCCCCGTGTGCGGCAAAGCTTTCGGCCATGGATCGCTGCTGGCCCAGCACCTGCGCACGCACGGGGGTCCACGGCCCCACAAGTGTCCGGTGTGTGCCAAGGGCTTCGGCCAGGGCTCGGCGCTGCTGAAGCATCTGCGCACCCACACGGGCGAGCGGCCCTACCCGTGCCCGCAGTGTGGCAAGGCGTTCGGGCAGAGCTCGGCTTTGCTGCAGCACCAGCGCACCCACACGTCCGAGCGGCCCTACCGCTGCCCCCATTGTGGCAAAGCCTTCGGCCAGAGCTCCAACCTCCAACACCACCTCCGGATCCACACGGGCGAGCGGCCCTACGCCTGTCCCCACTGCTCCAAGGCCTTCGGGCAGAGCTCGGCACTGCTCCAACACCTGCACGTGCACTCCGGAGAGCGCCCCTACCGCTGTCAGCTTTGTGGCAAAGCGTTCGGCCAAGCCTCCAGCCTCACCAAGCACAAGCGGGTCCACGAAGGGGCGGCGGCTGCAGCTGCGGCGGCTGCCACTGCAGCCGGGCTAGGCCTGGGGCCTGGCTTGAGTCCTGCATCCATGATGAGACCCGGACAGGTCTCCTTCCTAGGTCCTGATGGTGTCTCAGTGCTCCACTCAGGCCTAGACCTCAGCTCTGGGTCTAGCTCCACTCACACCACCTCTGATCCCGCCGCCGCGCTGGATCCTTTCCCCAAGCCCAGCTCCCAAGTCCTCTCTGGCTCTCCATCTACCCTCAGCCCAGATCCTGCTGAGTCTTCTGACCCTAAGCTTGGTCACAATGTTGATCCCAATGTTGTGCCCAGCCCTGATCACCAGTCTGATCCCAGACCTGATTCTGATCCTGATCCCAACCTTGACCTCTGCTCTCCCACCCATGACACTGCCAGCCCAGCCCTCCCTGCCAATGAGGGCCCAGAGTGGGTAAAGGAGCAGGGGGCACTGCTGGCGCCCGATGGTTGAAGGGGACGTGGCATCATGGTGTCCTGGGGAAGGTTGTCTGTCGTGCACTTAGTAAAATTCTTCCACTGCCTCCTGGTTCTGTGTTGTGATTGGCCTTGAGTGCTTTCTTTCTCCCGGGATGCCCCATGCAGCTTCCAGAGATAGCGAGGTGTGGCTAGGGCCCACTGGACCTCTGGAGCCCCACCCTCTGGGCTTCCTAACTTCCTTACAAAGCTTTGCTCCAAACCAATGGTACCACTCCCCCACTTCTGGCCACTCCAGTCTGCAGGAGGCTGGGTCTGCAGCTGACTAAAAACATCTTTCTGGCTTTTTCTTCATGGTTGGAATTTCTGGCATGTGGATACTCTAGAAGACTGATAGTAGAGGCTAATAGTGGATTCCTCTGTGTGTGTGTGTGCGCGTGTGCACCAGTACTAAGTCAGAGCCTAGGCATTGTCCCTGCATTTTTTTTTTTTTTTTGCTCAAGACTATGGCTCTATCACTTGAGCCACAGCTCTGCTGTCTGCTTTTTGCCAGTTAATTAGAGATTACAGTCTCATTGATTTTCCTCCAGGGCTGGCCCTTGAGACCATGATCCTCAGATCTCAGCCTCCAGAGTGGCTGGGATTACAGGCATGAGCCATTGGCACTGGCTGGGTTTGCTTGTTTAGAGACAGAATCTCACTACATTCCAAACCTCTCAATCTTCCAAGTAGCATGGCTTTTGAGGAAGGGTTTTACAATCCTAGTACCATGAACTTAATAATCAGCTTATGTGATGGTCCAGCATATTCTCATTTAAACTTCTACCAGGAGGGCTGGGATGGTGGCTCAGTGGTAGAGTGCTTGCCTTGCATGCATGAGGCCCTGGGTTCGATTCCTCAGCATCACACAAGCAGAAAATGCCCAAAGTGGCACTGTGGCTCAATTGGTAAAGTGGTAGCTTTGAGCTGAGGGACAGCACCCAGGACTAGAGTTCAGGCCCCACAACTGACAAAAAAAAAAAAAAAAAACCCAAACAAACAAAAAACCCAGAAAACTTCTACCAGGAGACTGGTCCCTTGAAAATGAAGAAACAGGAACACCGAGTCTGAACTATAGACCCTAGAAAATATAGATGTAATGAATGACAGTGCCTGTGTTTTCTCTGGAGGGCCTGTATTCCAGAGCAAGAGTATGCAAAGGTCCTGGGGTCACTGAGTGATGACCACATTAGGTTTGGGTTACACAAGAGGTGAGAAGTGTGCTAGTGACGCCATGAGCAAGTTTGGATGGTGGATATATATATATATATATATATATATATACATTTATATTAAATATATATTATATATTAAATATTACATATATAATTATATATAGTTTTTGTTTTTTCTTCCAAAGGTTTTTGGCTGCCTGAGGAATGGATAGATCAAAGGGAGAGGCTACGAAGGCTAGGTCCAGGCTAGGAAGCTTGGGGGTGCGGCCCTATTTGGCTTAGGAAATAAGGTTTGCTGAATGCAAGGCAGAGGATTTTCTGGGAAGGAGGGCAGCACTGAGAGCGGACGCCGCAGAGGGTAAAAGATCAAGCCCTAGACACTGGAATCACGATGTTGGCAAGGAACAAGGGGCCTGATGGAGAGCCAGGAGGGGGGTGCGGGGGAGGGGGCAGAGCCAGTCGCTGCTAGCGCTTCGAGCCAGCCAAATTCTGGGCCCGAGTCGGCGCTAGGACCACACGACCGCGTTCGGTCGCCGGAACCGCTGGCCGGGCCACGCATGCGCACTGCCCCGGGAAGGGAGAGGAAAAACCTTCGCTGGCGCAGTGGGCGGGGTCAGAGCGACTCACGTGGTGACGTGCAGCGAGTTCTCCGCTCACGTGACCGCGGCTCGGGTCAGCTGACAGGGCCGGGTTTTGAAGCGGCGCGGCGAGGCGAGGGAACGAGGCCCGCGGTTGACAGCGGCGGGGGGCTCGGACCCCGGCTGCGCCGCCGCGCCCTCCCCGCCCGTCCGCTTCCCCGCGCTCCGGCGCCATGGCGGCCTCGATGGGCCGGCGTGGATCAGGTGAGGGTGCGGGGGAACACCGCGGGGGCCGAACGCGGGCGGCGCGGGGCTGGGGCGGACACGGCCAGCCTCTCCATCCGCTCTGTTCCCCCAGTCCAGTGCGGACATCGCCGCTGCCCCGGTGGGAGGGACACGGGTGGGGCAGGACCTCAGGCGGCGGGACTCCCGAACTCGGGCCCTGCTCGCGGATCCTCCAATCCGGCGCCGCAGGCGGGGCTGTTCCTCTGCTTCTCGGGCCGCATTCGGAGCCTGAGTGAGTTCGGATTGCTCCACTTGGCTGGAACTCGGGCAGCGGGCTCCAGCTTCTGTCAACCCGCACGTGAGCCCCACTCGGGATTTCCTTTCTGAAACCAGCGACTCCGTATCTCTAAAGTTCACTGGCGAGCAGCTCCCGATTACTTGAACCCAGCGTGGGATCTCGTCGTTCCTAAAACTCAAGATTATGGGTGCCCAGTTTCCAGCCATTTTTGAGTTCCTCTCTGTTAGGTGGAGTCGTGGAATGACTTCACCCCAGCTAACCAGCTCTCTTCCCCAGAAATCTGAAGGAAGATCTGATGGGTTAATGGTGCCTTGGGAGTTGGCTGGAGATACCTCCTAGGTGTCCCTGGCTGGTGGGAGTTTGGGATGAGCCCCATTTGACCCTAGGTAGGAAAGGAGGTTGAGCCTATCTTCTTCCTTCCCTTCGTTCTGGTTTGTAAACAAGAGCATCCAAAGGGAGGAGCCTAGAGTGGAAACCACAGCGCCCATAATTAACCCAGGAAGCTTTTTTTGGATTAGGGGTGTGGCACCGTGGTAGAGTGCTTGGCCAGTTTGTACAAGGTCCTAATTTCATCCTCAGCACCCTCCCCCTCCCACAATTGATAGCCATCCAAGAAGGAAAGAACGGGGAAAAGCAGGGTTCTCTTAGTGAAGTGGAGATGGTGGGGTCTTGGGACAGTTCTGGGTTGCCATTGCTGGCTGTGATCCCCATATGTGGCTGAAATCTTGGCTCCTCTGCTTAGGCTCAGATGAACTAGTGATTAGCATGGTGAACCTTTCTGTTCTCTGAAGTTACTCAAATAATGTGGTCCACAGCAAGGGTATATTTCTTTTCTTTCTTTTTCCTTTTTTTGGTTAGTCCTGGGGCTTGAACTCTGGGCCTGGTCACTGTCCCTGAGCTTCTTTTGCTCAAGGCTAGCACTCTACCACTTGAGCCACGGCTTTTTCTGTGTATGTGGTACTGAGGAATCGAACCCAGGGCTTCATGCATGTTAGGCAAGCACTCTACCATTCAGCTACATTCCCAGCCCAAAGAGTACATTTCTTTCTTCTTCTTTTTTTTTTTTTTTTTGTCGGTCGTGGGGCTTGAACTCTGGGCCTGGGCGCTGTCCTTCAGCTCTTCAGCTCAAGGCGAGTGCTCTACCACTTG